AAAAGATTCCATATATCCATTGACATTACCTATAAAAACATATTCCCTTCATGATTTCTGGGATATTGTGCTTTATTTTGTGTACTAGAAGTTTTTAAAAAGTGAATTTAGAAAAGAAATTGTATCAGACGAGTGATGAAATAAACAGCAGGTTTATCCTTTTCCAATTGTCACAATGCTCAGGAACACAGAAATGAGTCACATTGATGTATGCAAAGTATAAAGCCATGTAATAAGCCAAACCATCAATGACATAACTTCAAAAAAAAGTCACATTGAAAGCAATAAGGTACCACACAATTCATTTTATTTTAAAATTTATTAGGTGCAGAAGTATGCATATTTCTGCAATATCAATCTTCCCCCCAAATATTAGTCAAATTATGAAATTTCCATGAAGTAAAATCATTGTCTTTATTGGGATGGTAAGAGCCACAAAAGAAATTACATCATTACAGTCAGTGTTATTTAAAATTGTGATCTCAAGAGTAATATGCTATTTATTATCTTTCTTATTAAAATTTTAGAATTTTGGAGAGGAATAGAAAATATTATTATAAATCTTAATGACCTCCGATCCATACATTTTAGAATGCATCATATAGGGTGTTATTTTTCTTCTCCTAAAAACAGTCTAGGTACTGTTCAAATTCACTTGCGTTCCTGCAGATATGGTTTTGGAATAAAAACTTCCTGGGAAGACTCTATTTTATTTAGACATTATCTAGGTGTATAGAATTAATGACAAAATAAAATCTGTCTCATGTAAAAATTTAGAGTAATTAAATTTGTACATAACATTTAATTTCAACTCCTTCCAAATATTTAAGAAAATTTCAAATCATCTGTAAATTTTGTCCCTAGATAGAAATGTTTAAAATATTTTTGGAATAGTCTTATTTTTAAAATGTACAACATATCAACTTCAATGATGCCTATATCAATACTCTCAGAAAGGAAGAGGAAAAATGAGATAATCAGGCTATTTTTTATCTACCATGTGTTTTTCTCTTTTAGACATTGTTGGCACTCCACTTTAAAAAAAAAAATAACATGAAACCCTTTCTTAGCAGTTTTCTCAATTGTCCTCAAGAAAAGAAAATTAGGATGTCCATTTTTCTAGGAGGTAAGCTTAGAATAGAAAAGCATTCCTCTCAGAATTCTATGTGAATTGATCTATTCATCAAAAATTTTTAAAAAATGCTTTAGGATGAATTTTTTTCCTAAAACTAAATGTTGCTCAGATTTTCTTTCCTAGCAATATCAATGGAATTTTAGGAGTAAAAGAGATTGAGGCAGCTCATGTTTCTTTGAATCAATTTCTTTGAATGTCCTTGGCAACCTGCCTCAATTCTATGAAAGCTAATCTATGAAAGAATAAAACAATAACTCCCTTACTAGATTGTTACAAGCTGAACATGAGGGCTGTGAGCTGAATGTGTTGCCCACAGATTCCTATGTAAAAACTCTAGTACCAGTGTGATGGTTTGAAGGTGGAGCCTTTGGGTGGTAATCAGGTTTACATACAGTCCTGAGGGTGGGGCCCTTGTGATGGGATTTGGAGTCCTTTTAAGGAGAGGAGGGAACCAGAATTTATTCTCTACTATGTGAAGACACAAGAAAATGGTATTCTGCAGCTTTCCTCACCAGAAACTAGTTCTTCTGGCACCTCAAACTTCACTTCCAGCTCCCAAATTGTAAGCAATAAGTCTTTTGGCCATCCAGTCCAAGATATTTTGTTACAGTGAACTGGGCTTATTAATGGAATGAGGTAATATGTGGCAAAGATGATAAGATGTAGGAGGCTCCATTTTTTCAGTTTATGAAAAAAAGTATATTTGTTAGATTAAATTGGAGAACTTAATCTGTCTAATCCAGAGAAAACCATGATATTCCACCACATGTGTCAGTATTTTATTACTATATCAAAATACCTGATAAAAGCTATTTATGAAGAACAAAAGATTTATGTGGGTTATAATTTTGGAAGCTCAAGAGCATGACACCCCTCTTAGCTTTGTTCTGGTTAGAGACCCATGGCAGCCGGTTGATGGCAATTATAGGATTTTATACTCCCCCAAGTAGTCACATTGAAAGACAGGAAACAGAGAAAGCTGGGTGAGACTTGTTTCTTTATAATCACCCTCTCATGAGAACACAAAGGAGCACATTAAAACTGCTTTTCAAGGACATGACTGAATGACCTGAGGACTTCCCATTAGGCTGATTAGACGCCTCTCTCTCTCTCTCTCTCTCTCTCTCTCTCTCTCTCTCTCTCTCGTGTCTCTGTTTGCTTTCTCATTCAAGGAATCAGATCTAGGGACTTGAACATGCCAGGTAAGCTATCTAACACTGAGCCACATCCCTAGCCCAGGCCCCATCTCTTAAATTTTCCATAGCATCTCTCAATACTACTACCCTGGAGACCAAGCCTTCAATCAGAACCTTTGGGTGGGTATAATTAAATAAGATCTAAACCATAACACCCACATCCTAGATCATTGGCTCAAGTGACAGAACTCCCCTACATAATTAAAGACTTTTATTGTCCTTTATTTTTCATCAGAAATTGTCCAGATCTTACATAGGGTAAATGACCTTCACTGGGTCCCATAGGTAATACAATTACAAAATGTTATCATTTTATTTTTGTTCTGGGCCTGCACTCCTTAGAACTAGAAATGTGTTCTTAGTGAGATAAAATTTGTTGTAAAACTAAATTAATTCATAGATATGTTTGTAGTTCTGACTATTGGTTGAACACCTTGGCAAAGAAAATTTGAAAAATAAAAATTTGGCAATAGTGATGTATCTTATCAGACAAGTGAGCCTCTTCAATTGTTGGTTAATTAGCTATTTGCACTTATACTATGTGCATTCAGCTTTTTTAAGAGAACCAAAACTAGTTTGTTTATTCTAACATCCCTGTCATGCAATTAGATTTAGCCTATATTTACATGGTAGACTTAGCACATGGGAAAAGGCAAAATAAATTTTTTTAAAGTTTTAATTCCAGATGGAGTAAATTACCAAAGAATATTATATGTGCTTGAAATACTTCTTGTGCAAAAAGATACATGTGTGTATGACAATACATAAAAGGACCTGATTATAATGCCTAAATACAGTCAAGTCTTAGACACAAAATCCTGGTGTAAAAGTATCAGTGCTGCATTTAAGATGATATTTCAATGAGAAAAGGTTCTTTGCAGGGGGAATGTAATTTAGTTACATGAATGATAATCATAGACACCACTTTTGCACACTTCCACTTTGCCATTTTCACGTATGCTTTGTTCAGTGGAGTTGTATGAGAACTTCCTACTTCTATGGCTGTTCAAAATATAAGGTTCTAAAACTGAAAAAGTGAGTCTAACTTGAGATATAATTACAAGGTTATAATAATGATGTTATAAGATCATACCCAGTATTCCAATTTACTCACTGCAGTGGGTTACTATTTTTTGAAGAGGAAGGTAATAATGAGCAACAATATTCAGATAGGACTCACTATTCATTAAACTATTCTTGTTGTTTTATCAACTAAATTACTAAGGAAGTTCCAGGGAAAACTGATGGAATGTTTTCATTTATCTTATAGATATGGTCTTTAAATATATGATAATAACAAAAAACACAAATCTTTTTGTGGGGGGAAGAGGGGTATTATCTCTATTAAACACATAAAGCGTAAGCAAAACAAAATGTAAAATTTCCTTTGAATTCAACAATAGCTCAACATTCAGAAAATAATGACACAGGGCTGAAATTATTCAAAAAAATATTCTGGGTAAAAACCCAGATAAGCCAGGAAAACCTTTGTAAACAAGTTAGACAAATATGTCCATGCTTACTATTGTTTAATATTAACAATCAGCCCACTGTTTTATTTATACATAAATGAATAAATAACAAAGATAACCCTAGTAACTTGTGACTGTAGGCTCTTCCCCTGAGCATCATGATACTGGTAGATTTACACCTTTAACATTGCCGCAACAATTTCACGGTATCATTTGGAACTACATGAAGGTGCTCCAAAGAAATAGAAATAATCTGGGAGATAATGTGTAGTTTTATGGTGCCTCTGGTAGCTTACAAAATTATCTGAAAAACTTACTGAGTTCATAGAAATACAGTTTCATGTCCCAATAATTACAAAAGTGGGAATGATTTATTTCAGGTAGAAACAGCTTCCTTCAAGGGATATCTCTTCTTCAGTGTCCTTTAAAACATATTCTGGATTCAGAAGAGACAGTTTGCAGCAGAAATTTCACGGGGTTGCTTGGGCTTAGCTACACATACACATGCACAGAAGAAAAAGAAAGGAAAAGAGAAGACCATTGCTTCATCAGAAAAACAAGCACTTTTTCCCCCTGGTGTCATGTCTTTGGATATGTGCGGCCTTGGAGAAATGTATAAATCATTTTTATACATGGAATTGTCTTAGAAAACTAGAGACTTTAGTATAAAGAAATCAATTCACTAAAACAATGCCCACTTGCTATTGTTATGACTTAAGAGTATCTATACAAGAGGAACTTACAAAAGGCCTCTGTATTACATTATTGACCTATAGGAACACGGTGGGCTTATACCTTCTCCAGGCCTACGTTACACTGAGTATTACAAATAATATTATAACAATGCTGAAAATACTGATATAAAACAGCTTTAAATGATATTTCCAAAAAATATCCCTCCATTTAAAATTGAACTGTTTAATCCAGGTTTTCTTTTTGAATGTTCCAGCTTTAAAAAAGATTTTTCAAGAAAATATTAGTGTTTAAAACATCTCTTAAAATGTCTATTAAATGACAGATTTTCTTAAATAGACTATTTTTTACAAAGTATAATCCAAAAGTCTATCTTTCAGCAAAATGAAACTATAAACTCCAAAATTCCAAATCCAAAACATTATTTGTGATACATAGCTCTTCCATATCCTGGGAAAAAAATCCTTGATTATTTTATCATGCTTATTTATTTACAGGATTTAAAATATTCTAGCAACACACACCAATTTTCAGTACAAATCAAGCTGAATTTCACAACTAACAATTTTCTATAATTTCTTAAATATTGCTCCAGTCTATAATGTATATTTGTCTGAATATTACAACTTTTAAAGTATGATGAAATTTTCAACAGCAGTCTCATTAAGTCAACCGAATTGCAGTGTGTTTTCTCTTTTGGCAGAATTATAAACACACAAGAGAAAGAAAACATTTGAAGAATATTTGCCTTGGTGCACATGCTTCTTTTGGGAAACCAAAATTATAGCATATTCCCTATACTTCTTATCAATTATAATCAAAGTTAGAAAGTTGATCAAAGTTCAATAGTTAAAAATGGGGAGAGGATCTAATGTTTCTCCCCAAAGTGTAGAGCTCAAATAACTTTGATTTAAACAGGTTAGTCAGATGCCATGCTACAACTGCAATCTTAATTCTCCTTTATTCATCTCATTTGTGCATGCTGACAGGTCTGTCAGAGAATGCAAGGGAAACAGATCATGCATTTTGTATGGCAGTTTCAATTTCCATGGACTAGTCTATTGTGGCTATGATCAGCTCTGATCTTAGTATAAGAAAACTGCAGACCTGATTCTTAATAGTACTTTTACAATTTTTTAATTTATTTATGCCTACCATTTAATACTGTTTTCTAATTATTTTATTTAGATTTATTGATCTATCTCATGTGCACTTGAGTATACAATGTATTAAACCTTATTTGTCAAAATATTTGCATTTGCTCAGTTTTAAATATTTCAGTTAGAAGTTTATTTCTAAGGTCAAATAGCCACAGTTCGCATATTATTTTACCTTTTTTTTTCTAAATCTAAATGACTGCATAGTGAGAGTATTGTTTACAGGATACCGAATATTGACATTCTGTCCCTCAGTTAATAAAGTCATATAGGTTGATGTATATAAAGCAAAACTGGATATATTTTAAAATAAATATTTAAAAATATAGGAAAAATGAAGTAAAAGAATATTTCTCTCAGAATATTGAATCCCTGACATTTCAAAAATGCTGATATTTCTATGATAGTGACTCAAAGAGTACAGCATGTCACAGTTTATGAATCATGTAACAAAATCCAGCCAACTTTACCACTTCTCTGTGTTATGCTATGGTACTTCTGTATCAATAGCAAAAACTAAAAGCAAAATTTTTGTAAAGATCAGAGCTGTCATTCCCTATTTGGCTAGCAATTATTCTGTCTGAAATTCTTTCAGCACTACTGTAAACTAAACATTTAAAGGATAAAAGAAACAGCCTTTTCCCCATTAATAGCATCACAAGCTTGAATGCATGTAATAGAGAGACAAAAACATCTCTAGGTTACATGCAAACAAGCTTCATTTCTCTAATAAAGACATCACCAAATATATCACATTAAAATTCCTCTATTAACTATGTCATTTAAAATTCTTTACAATTCCCCTCTCTATTTCTTCTTTATATCTATCTTTACAGTAACACTGTTGACAGTGAACAGAGTGCTGACATTACTCTTTGAAACCTCAATGCCTATCAGTGATAGAGATAAAAGAGTATCTCTAAATTATCAACTATATAAACCAGCAAGATAGTCCCTTATCATATACATATATAAGAAAGTGTTCAAGGCAATTCAACTTAATTCAATTAACATGCTTGGACCTTCATTTTTAAAATAATAAGAATAATGAAAGACCACAAGTTTTTGTTTATGAAAAAAATAAAAGTAATAAAAAGTACATGACAATTTTAATATGAACTATGCACGAGAAACACAAACCATCTTTATCCTACCCAGAGACAAGAACACGATGATTTCATTACCCATCCTGCTGGCCCAGAGTCTGGAGTTCAGTGGTATGTAGATTATGGTGGAGGAAAACATTCTTCCTGCTGTACATGTGTAAAGAGATTGGCCCTCTGGGTGGCTGCCCAAATCTGCCTGTAAAGGTCGAATGCTGTTGGGACACAGCAGCTTGCTCCTTTGGTTTCTCTAAGTATGTGGGGAGCCCTTCCATCTTGGTTATTGGCTTCAGAGAGTTCTGCCCAACTGTGGTCCGTAAATTCTGTGCAACCTCTGAAGAGAGGGATTCATACGTTCCTCTTGAGTGTTTGATAGCTTCTGCTAGTTCCTTGTCCTTTAAGAAATTACCTAAATATAGACTTGAAAGTTGGCAGGCCTTGTTTTTGTAGGGGCTTGTCTGGTCAGCTGGTGAATATCTAAAACGGTCCTCGGTGGGAGTATGTATTGCTTTTTTGTCCCTTGTGCTGAGGCTTTGGCTCACAATTCGATTTCGATATGTAGCCTAGAGTAAGACAAAAAAGATGTCTTAAAAACACCTTTAAAAACACATTCATAGCATATAAGAATGCAGAATGGTATTCATGGAATCTCCATGAGATTAAATTTCCATGAGAAATCATACTATGTGTAATGGATAAAAGGTCAGTTCACCCTGAAAGACGTTTTAAGTCAATTTATGTAATTCTCTCAATGTGAATACCATGATTTTATCTGAAAATACAGATTATTTTAATACATAATAAATGCTAATACATGAGGCAATTATTTTTGTTGATTTAGTATATTATGTTCACTTGAGTATATATGTTGAAAATTAGTAGAATTATTAACATCATGATTTACATTACCACAGCAGTAACCCAGAAATTTAAGGAATTAAAAACATCAAAGTCACTCCAATAACCTAAGGAGAACAAGAACCATTGAAAGAGTGAACAGATGCTATCTGACATTACTTTGTGAAGTCTCAAAGATAAAGGTGAAATGAAATTTCCACACATGATTCATTTAGACTTTTGGATTCAATTTATTTATCGCAGTGAGGTTTATAAGTACATACCATCTTCCTGCTCTTCCCAAGCCTAAATTCTAGAGATAGAAGAAACAAGACGATGCTCATTGATCCATGCTGAGGAGAAGAGGAAGATTTCAAGCTGGCACACAAATTCCTTCTGAAAACAGTACTGTCTTGGTTTAGTAAAACACATTTAGCCAGAAATTGGCTTATTGTCCCAGTGAAAAAAGAATGAGAAGAAAAGAGATGAAAAGCAAGTAAGGGAGAAAAGAGCTCTCTGGATGGCAGCAGGCTGGTACTACACGTGTCAAAGGAGCTAGAAAACGTTTCTGCTAACTTGAAGTCTAAAGGGTGTTATTAAGGGACCCTAAAGCAACTCTGTGACTAATACCTGAAGCCAGATGTTAGACATACCATGGGTGCTGCTCGTCAATACTGTGAGAAAAATATTAGAACAATGGAGACATTGGTAAATCAATAACGGTAATAGCAGTAATGTTTCTTTTTAAATTAATAATGTTTATAATTGAGAAATCATTACATACACTTCTGGTGGCACAATGTGATGTTTTGATACATATATATCTATAGTGTTAAATTATTAAACTGAGCTACTTAACATATCCATCATCTTACTGTTTTTTATTTTAGGTAGTGATGCTTTTTTCATTTTTGTTTCTTCATACATTGCATAAGAAAGTAGAGAAGGTGGATGGAGACATCATTTCCATTACTTCAATATTACATTTGGGGAAATATTCATTTTTTTCTTTATATGATCTTTTTGACCCTCCTGGGATATTACATTAAATCGAATATACCGTTTTAATAAAGGAATTTTGAAAAAAGTTCAAATAATTCAATCCCATAGGCAGCCCCAGTGCTGTTTTATATCTGTTACTAACAGGATACATGTGAATCTACTACAAAAAGAAAAAATGAAGAGTATCACACTCAATATAAAAAAATATACATTGGAATCCCTCATTAATGTTGATTTGACACGGTTTGCTCTTTAAAGTTTTGGTTATGTTCCCCATTAACTCCAGGATTCTTATTGGACATTGAAGATTGTATAGCACAGGGATTAATGGCATGGGTGTGAGATCAGACATTTATGGAATCATTTGATGAATTTTGATTACTACTGAGGGCAAGGTGCTGCATACATGATAGAAAATAGTTCTGTTTACAAAAGACTTGTATCCTCCCTTCAGGTAGGAATCAATCAAAATCAGTCACTTTCTAACTGAGTGACCATGGCCAGCTAATTAACTTTCCCAAGTCCCCTATTTCCTCATCTGTGGAAGGAGTGTTTTTGTTCAGACCTTTATTGTCCCGCAGGCTTATTGTGAATATTCAAGGAAATATTTTGTGTCAAATGTCTACTATCATACCTTGAACATAGTTATCTTGAAGACAACAGTAATAATCATAAAAACAATATAAAGTGACCAATAGACCATGAAATTACTTTGATAGCCATTTATTAAATCCTGTAGAACTTAGATGACTTTAGACAGTTTTATTTTGACTTGAAAAAGAAATTCTTTGTAGAATATGCTAGTAATTTTATATTTATTATTATTGTTTGTTTCTCCAGAGCACAGATTTTATGACATATTTTTAACTTTATTATGGAGGAATGAAGAAAACAGAGCCAGATAAAGGGAGAGGTCAAATTTTAAAGTTAACCTGTCTCTATTCATCACCCAGGGGGGCCTCAAGTTGAGATGGCTACTGATTGTTGCCCCCAATTCTGGTAAGTGGCTGTGACCTTCTCTACTTATCTGTTGTTGCAAATTGGAAAGCTCTGGGAAGGGTTATAAGTTTCAATTAGGTGCCTTTTTTGTTGTTGTCGTCTTCAGGGAGGAATTCCTGGAGAGGAATTTACTAGACAGTTACATGTATAGCAAGTGGAAAAATGAAAGCTTGAGTCCTAGAAGTGTATGTGTGATTCCAGCAGAGGGAGTAAGAACTAGGAGGTGCATGACTGTATAATGGGGATCCAGAATTTAAGCCTGCAGATGTCCAATGTGTAACTCAAAACAGGATAAACCTTAACATTTCCATTTTCATCTTATATATCTTCTTTATTAGCTTAAAATCTTGAGACAGAGTACTGTTGGGCTCTTTAAGTAGGCATGCTAGTCACTTAGCATATTACAAGGTTTTTAGCCCTAAATTTATTTAACCTGTCTCATACCTTTCAAGACAGAGGACTCCAAGACAAGAGAAGCTACACTAATTTTCAGGTTTTTCAGGGATATGTACTTGGCGTACACCATGTCCTGTTCCAGACTCTCCAAAAGTCTCCAGCCATTGTTCCAGACCTGTGCTCACCTGAGTTCCAGGAAGAGCACAGCCTCATGAACCCTTCATGAGATTGCTCAGGCCAGCAAAAGCAATCACCTCGTGGTAACTGAACTGCCCCACAAGCTATGAGGATTCCTCCAGAGCTACAAAACCAGATCAGAGCTCACTGCATAAAACTGGTGCCCACTCCTTTGGTGGTGGTCCCTTCCCTGTCTTGTATTCTCCTTGTTCAGAAATCAGTTTGATCTTTGTCCGCTCTTGGAACTGAAGTCACTTATCATTTTCTCTTAATTTCCAGTTAAAGCCTTTTTTCCTGCAAATTCATGCCTGTTTTAATTTCCATTATCACTGAAGCAAGGACATTCACTAGCTAGTAACAACTGCATCTACTACATTAATTATCCTGTTCATATGTTTAATGTAATGTGGAACAATGAATCTTGAATGAAAGAACTCTAATACCAAACTCTACAACCTTGGATAAATATATATATTTTTTCCTAAGCTTCAGTTTCATAGTCTATTGAATGAGACTATCAAAATGTAGACCACACATGTAGATTTTGATGAAACTCTAGCAATTATTCACCTCACTTTCAATTCTAAAATTATAAGTTTAAAATATATGCTTTATTTAACATGTTTTAGAACACATTTCAAAAAACATAGGAAGATTCCCTTCATTCAAAAAATAGATATAAGTATATAATATATTAATATATAAATATTGTATAATACTATAGACCCTTGACTTACAAACTCAATTCATTGGCAGGGCTGGTTGTAACTTAAATTGGTCAGTAGAAGACTCAGGCTCCTCTAGACAGCCTTCAAAGTCTCTCTCCTGTATACAGGCAGATCTCAGTGTCCTTAGAAAGACATTGGCCCAGGATATCTCAGTTAATTCTACCCAGGAAAGGATGTTGTAATGATCTTTTCAAAACTCTTTAAGGGTTAAATATGTATCTGAGACCATCTGGAAGCATAAGCAGCTGGCATTTGGGTCATAACTCAAGACTTTGTAAGTTAAAACTAAAATTCTGGTCATAATTCAAGTTGCTTGTATGTCAGACCAGTCATAACTCTAGGGTCCACTGTATATATAAATATAACATGAATATATATTTGGATTTGATTACTTTGGCCCAAAAAGAAATAAATAACAGCCTTATCTTAATGTTAATGGATATAACTTCCTTTGAAAGCTCTTAGGATTATATCCTTGAAATGAATTTTGTGTGTACATGCCTACCCATATTTTCCTCAAAATCAGAATTGTTTCTGCAGAGTCAAATAAGTATGTTACTTTTGGGACAACATGGCTATGAAGTAGCAAGCTTATTATTTATCCATAGAGTTACTAGTAGAGAATGAAAGGATGAAAAATCTAGTAATTAATCAGTCAAATGTATACATTATAATACAAGCAATTCTTTACTTCTCTATATACAATTGTCCTCTCATTTTTTTGACTGGAGCATTCATATTGCCTTGTTTCATGGAATGCAAAATGTCATTGGTTTTAAAACATTATTTTACATACCTCTAAAACAGCAAAAGTAAGCAAACAAAACATATGATGCTAATGTAAAACAAACAGCACAAAAATCTCATGGCTTTATCTTTTGTCACCCATTAGTGAGTCTTACCAACCTTACATTGAAATTTCTTTTGTCTTTAGTTGCTTTGCATTTGATGGACAGTCCTTTTGCATTTATCTCAATGATTCATTTTCATCTGCATCTACATACATTCCCTCTTAGATTTCATAAAGCATTAGGTTTCCACATTTTAAGCAAATATGGAATCGAAGGTTTTCCAAATACAAATATTTGTTTTGCTCCCCCTGCTTTTTTCTTTCCTTGACTTTAACTATATAAACATTTGCTATGATACCAAAACATAATAAGTGTTCTGAATTTTTTTCCAGTACTAGGCAAACTCCTGTACTTGCACCCAGGAGCTCTCTATAATAGAACTGCACCACTAGTCCTTTACATATTTTATTTTGAGGCAAGGTCTTATGCTGTACAGACTGGCATTGAATTTACAGTCCTCCTTTAACAGCCTCCTGAGTAATTCAGATTATAAGCAAGGACCACCACATTTAGCCAAAAATATCCTTAAATGGTAACTCAACACAAGTAGCACCAATATTGCATATACTTTGT